TTTATAGTCAGTTATCACACGTATTATATTTTTATTAAAATTTCTTCACTTTAAATTAAAGATTTCGAATTTCAAATGAAATAACTAAAAATTCGTTTAAAAAAACACTTTAATTACTTCCTTATTAGATCTACTCGGCAAAAGTTCAAATTAAATAAACTACAATTTTGGAAGTAATAGTTTTGAAACTCAACGTAAATTTCACTTGATCTCATAATCATTAATATTTTTGGTTGGAATGTCTTTCCCCTAGGTCTTGAATTCCAGCTCTAATGACCATAACTTATAATATGCTCTTTAAATTACTCATTTATTCATTTTTATTAATACAAATTCAAGCTGATCGAATCAATAATTTTCAAATATAAAATATAAAATAATTAAAAAAAAAACATGTGACCCGACTTTTAGGACATTGAACGGTGGAGGGGTCCTCTAAGGGGTAAATAATGATTATTATTTTTTCAAAAAAAAGAAAAGTAGAGATTATGGTGGCATGAGTACTGAGACAAATAAAGTTTGGTCCACCAAATACACCGACCAACTATAAACTTGAGAATATGGGGGGGCCTAGTTTTTCTTTGATTTTTTTTTATGAAATGTGTGGATATAAATTTAAGTGGACTTAATCATGTATAGTTTTTAATAGCATTTTATTTCGTTATTTCTATTTCTATTTTCAAATTGAAAGATAATTTATTTGAATAAAAAATTTATCAATATAATAATACAAAGTAGAAGTTAAATCTATGTACACTCTATCTTCTCTAAATTCTATTTGTGAGAAATTGTGTACACTGAGTATATTATTATTGTCGTTGTTAGTTTAGCTAATGCTATATTGAATACTTAGGGGTTTAATAATATTAATGGTAATTAGTTGCTGGCACTGGCAGGGATGGATAGATTAGGAATCTGGTCGAAACTTCTTGTCGTGTTTTGGTAGTTGCCTATACTTTTGAATTAAAGTATTTGCCATTGTGGAATATTAGCTTTTTGGTGTGTATATTCTTTAATTGTTAATTAATGTCTCTCTCCAACAATTATTGCCTACTTTAATTTATTAATCTCTCTCTTTTTGTGATTAAAAGATTGGATATATATTATTAAAGTTATTTTATTCTTTTCGAAATATTGGACGAATTCAGATAATGAAATGTCTTATTATATATAAACATCTTCTAATGATCGATAATAATGTGATTCTTAGCTAATCCATTATTGTCTCTTTTCTCCACCATTTCCCTTACTTTTGTATTTCAAATTGGAAATATTAAAAAGGCTTCATTAACATAACATGTGTATTACATATACATGACAAGAAATTACTAAGAAATTATAGTGTTCAATAGGTAGCAAATTATATTCCAAAAATAAGCGGATTCAAAATTTTAATTCTATCAAACTGCTACCTCCACCCCCACTTGTGGACACAAATAGGAATGAATGAAATTTGAAAGACATTCAAACTTTGAATGGTTAGTTGTGTTGAATGAGAAGATAGTGAGCAATAAATGAGAAGGCGTCTATATGTCTTCATCGACAATTAACTATAAGCAAAAACGACATTATATGAATTATTGGTTCTTGAAGGTGAAGTCTAATTTTTGAGGCGGCTATTTGACCGCCCATATCCATTATTATTGATTCTTTGGTCTGCCGATATCATTTGAATCCTTACTGAACGACAGTGACTTATAACAAACCAGTAGTAATTGCTAGATCCTCATGAGTTTCTATTGGATCTTTATCTTTGACCCAAAACTTTCTATTTGGGTATATTTGTACTTTATAGTACTCCCTCGGTTTACTTTTAATTTACTTTTATTTAGGGATGTACAAAACGTAACCGAAAATCGAGTCAAACCAGAAAAAAAACCGACTAGTGATTTGGTTTGACTTAGTTTGGTATTGAAAAAAAAAAATCGATTATATTTGGGTTGATTTAATTTTAACTAAAAAAAATCAACTCGAGACCAAACCAGCCAGGCATTATATACATAATTTAAATTTTTTATTTTATGATAAAAATATTTACTTTGATATAGTTTTTAAATATTTCTTATACTTTTTCATAGTTTTTATTTTTTAATATATTTTTTCAAATTTGAAACTTATAAATTAGAATTTTGAATGGTTCAATAAAGATTATAGTCCACAGATGTTGGTAATTATAATAAAACTTAAATCAAAATCAAATTAATACTAATGCAAAAAGAAAATCAATTCAACATTAAGAATGACAATAATATTGAATATTTGTTCTTTAGTTTTATATTGGTTTAGACAATTAAAATACATAATCTAATTTTAATTTCCTTTAATATTTAGTCATGTAACTAATACTTATTAAACTAATTTTAGCATGATTTAATACTTTTAAATTATGATCATTTTCATTATGACTTGTTAATTGCAATATTTGTTTTACGCGATTTCATTATTATTATTTTTGTTTGATATTTTAATGACATTAATCATATCATATTTTATGTTATTTTTTTAAGAAACACCTTAGATAGTTGTATTTTGATAGGACTAAAGAAATATTTGAAGTACAAGTAAATTATATGTTTGTATGAATACTTTACCGGGAAAATCCGAAAATCCGAAAAAACCCGAGGTTAAAAAACCCGAGTTTTATTGATTTGGTTTATAAATTTAAAAATCCGACAGAAAAGATTTGATTTGATATTTAAGAAATCCGAACAAACCTGGCCATGTACACCCCTACTTTTATCCTGTTAAGTTTAAACTTTACACGATTGTTAAGAAATAATAATTAATTGCTAATTTAACTAGGAAAAAAATATGGCAGGGAAGGTGAGCCATTTGGAACATTTGAAGGCTGGCGCCTTCTTAGTTTAATCATCTAGTATTTATAACTCGTGGCCTGATTAATCTGAATTTGCTAGGCAAATATATCGACTAAATAAATACAAAAAGGTTGCAGCAAACTTCAACCCCCTATAGTGGGGAAATACAACTCTATTAGTGGAGCTTGAAAGAGAATAGTGTATATGCAGATCATACCCCTATCTTGAGAATGTAGAGAGATTGTTTCCTATAGATCCTCGGCTCAAAGAGATGAAAAAAAAAGGCAGTAGCAGAAACAGAAGCAAAAATAACAAGAAGATAATAAGAGAATCGAGGCTAAAGGAACAAGCAGTTCATCCTAGTTAAATGAAGAGAAGCAGCAGTGCTAGTACATGGGAAGCCATCTTCAAGCACAAAATATCATTGTCCAAACTATATATAAAAAAAAAAAGTACATCATGTTGCTTAATGCAATGATTTTATGTAATAATAAAGTATTATGAACCAACTATTTATAGTAGAAATGAAATATAAAAAGGAACGGGAGGAGTATAAATAAAGTTATATAGGGAAATAATGAAGTTCATGAGATTTTTCACTCTAGCATAAAACATGATAAGGGGAATATGAGATTGTACAAGGGTCAATGCATATCTATTCATGTTTATTTTTAATAATATTAAAATTAAATATTAAAAATCCTAGCTGGCAGTCATATGCTTTTTTGAAATGTCTCAAAGCTCATAAATAGTCTTCATCCATGTGATTTGAAACATCAATAATGGGTATGATTTTTGGATCCGAGGCATATTCGAAAATTTACTCTAATTTTTAATAGGGTGTATGTTAATAGGTACCGGGAAAAATATTTTTCATGAAAAATAGATTTTTTTAAGAAAATAATTGATTTTTTTTTTGTTTTGACATGTAAACAATATTTTTTTATGTATAATCTAGATAAATATTATAGGAGGTGGAAGTGGTGTATAGGATGGTGGTGATGGGGGCTACAAAGAGTGAGAGAGTGAAGATGGGGTGTGTTGGAGGGTGGATATGACACAATCAATGTCAAACTTATTTTTCTTGGTTATTCTCATTATGACAATCGTTTTTCTCATTTATGAGGAACTTATGTTCCTAAAAAAAATATTTTTCCATTTTTTTAACTAATCAAACATGAAAAATGTAATAACATTCAACTTCCTCCTTACCTAACACACCTAAGGATTCAAAACTAGTGTAGTATTTTGAAGGTAATCTTTTTGCATATGCATCTATGCTTCATACCGGAAATATTGAATTTCATTGAATTCATAGTCAGTTATCACACTTATTATATTTTTATTAAAGTCTCTTCACTCTTAATTAAAGATCTCGAATTTCAAATTTCAAATGTAATAACTAAAAATTCGTTAAAAACACTTTAAATACTTCCTTATTAGATTTACTCAGCGAAAGTTCAAATTAAATGAACTACTATTTTGGAAGTAATAGTTTTGAAACTCAACGTAAATTTCACTTGATCTCATAATCATTAATATCTTTGGTTGGAATGTCTTTCCCCTAGGTCTTGAATTTAAAAATCCGACACAAATGATTTGGTTTGATATTTAAGAAACCCGAACCAACCCGGCCATGTACACCCCTACTTTTATCCTGTTAAGTTTAAACTTTACACGATTGTTAAGAAATAATAATTAATTGCTAATTTAACTAGGAAAAAAATATGGCGGGGAAGGTGAGCCATTTGGAACATTTGAAGGCTGGCGCCTTCTTCTTAGTTTAATCATCTAGTATCTATAACTCGTGGTCTGATTAATCTGAATTCGCTAGGCAAATGTATCGACTAAATAAATACAAAAAGGTTGCAACAAACTTCAACCCCCTATAGTGGGGAAATACAGCTGAGCTTGAAAGAGAATAGTGTATATGCAGATCATACCCCTACTTTGAGAATGTAGAGAGATTGTCTCCTATAGATCCTCGGCTCAAAGAGATGGAAAAAAAAAGGCAGTAGCAGAAGCAAAAATAACAAGAAGATAATAAGAGAAGCGAGGCTAAAGGAACAAGCAGTTCATCCTAGTTAAATGAAGAGAAGCAGCAGTGCTAGTCCATGGGAAACCATCTTCAAGCACAAAATATCATTGTCCAAACTATATAAAAAAAAAAAAAGTACATCATGTTGCTTAATGCAGGACATGAATTTATTGAATTCTACAGATGATATTGAGTTAAGAAAAAAGAGAGGCATATGTGGCTTTCAGGGTACATTGGTCACACACAGAATAACAACTCTCAGCTTCAATCAAACGGCCTAGAGTATACTGGCGATTCAACACAACTAACTACAAGAACATACTACCAATAACAGAAAACAAACAAACTATAAACCTAGATTCTACAACTCAATCAAGTTGCATCTCTTCAGGAAATGGGATGGAAGCACAGCAATGGTAATAGCCATCGTCATCGAACACAAACCTTTGTGAAAGATGAGCTTCGGGGATAAGATACTCCCCCCAGTCTTCCGAGCCATATTGACCAAAAATCTTTCGTGCATCAAAGGAATCAACCTTTTTTGATCCTTTTTTGCTATCAATTGGAGAACAGTAAGTCAGTGCTAACCTTAAAAGTAATGAAATTATGCAACTGATAGAATCATGGATAGAGACTTTAAGCCAACAAATAAACAAGATATGCAATAAAAGATAAAAAAAATGACACCTTTTTCTGTGCCGCGCATTCATTATGGTGGCATGCAACTGCATAAGGGGCAGAAAAGGCTTATCAGGAACTTATCAAACAAGAAGATAACAAAAATAAAAACAATACAAGTTTAGCAATTTTCACCACGACAGTCATGGATAAGCTATACAAGCATTCTGGTATTAGAAATGTAAAAGGAGAAAGGCCACTAACGACAATAGAATACATCTAGAGAAGTAACTGCTATCAAGTGCAAGTCCACAAACAGTTTTAGGGGGTCAAGCCTTTCTTGAAAGTAACTATAAAAGATAAAACGTACTCGAATGAGCTAAAGCATAATCTTCAATTATTAAATACTTGATACCAGAACAAAACAAATGACCACCACAAGAAAGCACCAGCAAGCATAATGCAACAGAACAAACAAGTTCCAAACATATAAAGTTGGAATGCAAAAGGTGAGAATGAGTTAGGGTTTGAGGATGCTGAGTTCGAGAAGGTGTCAGAAGTAAAATGGATGTAGACATATTTACTCTTGGTAGAGAAGGGAACTGTTTCACTTTTCAAAAGAGGTTTGCACCATTTCTGACTGTATTAACAGATTCTCTACCAGGTGTCTATTACTCTTAGGCCCTTGCTTGCGATGAATAAATTGCTTTTTATGAGAAAAGAAAGTGGAGGGGTCAGTGGGGGAAGGAAAAGCAAAGAAGCAGCAGCACTAGATCGAACAGTCAAAGTATTTGAACACAGCATCAATGAAAATACAGAGACAAACAATAAAGAAATTGCCGACAAAATTAACCAGAATAAAGAATTAACACCTTGAAAGATATACCTTTAACTTCTGGTTTAAATCATTTTCAAGAACAAGACCAGCTTCAATGAACGCATTGGTGATCACCTCTAGAAAGGCTAAGGAATATCAAACGCAGGTAAAAAATTCCCTTAGAAATAGCAGACAGATTCAAGAAATGGGTAGGGTGAGGGAAGAAGACACCAGAAATTATGGATACGACAGGCACGTAAAAGTCGGTCTTCACCACCAATTACTTCCACAGGAGCATATACAACACGAGCTTTTGCTGGAGAACCTTTCATGCACTCCTACAGAATAAAAACAATCTGAGTTCCAGCCAGAAAAAAATGGTGAACTTGTGAAATCTCATTAGAAGCTACAGTCAAGAAACATCCAGCATACATGATATATAGTCTCTCTCTCACACACACACGTACAACAACCAATTGAAGAAGCATCTATAGAAAGAGAATGGTGTCCCATGAAAAGGAGTTCTAAATATAATATAAGAGCAAATGTTCTTCTTTTTGCAGTACTTAATCATTTTGTTCATTTGCTTTCACCTAATTCCAAGTAGGTCAACATTGCTACCAGTGGCATATTCGAAGGCTCTAATACACATTTACCCTTGGGTTGTTTCTGAATTTTTTTTTTTTTTTAAAAGTCATTTTGCTATTTTACATTTACACTTTCTCTTACGTGTTGTCATTTTCGGTAATTCTTCCTTTTAAACGTATAAAGTCAGCAGGCCTGATCTATGTTTCTTCTTCACTTGTGACAGTTTCTTTAAAATATATTAACAATAATATGACTACTCATTCCCTGTATCCTGTTTGAAAGCAAGTTTTTTTTAGTGTTTTCCCCCAAGCCATTAGCTTATTAATAAATCCCTAGTCACTGCCAATGATAAGAAATAATCAAACCACAAGAAAATATTTGAAACTAGCAAACTATTATAGCACAATAACAGACATTTGAATCCATACAATAAAATTTGAGTGGATAATATGCATATCTGAGCAAGTAATACTGTATCCTTAGCCTGGCAATTACTCTCATAAATGGGAAAATCCAACAAAGTTACTGAGAAGAACAACTAAAATCAACTATTGAAATTTTGTGGTGCATGGCAATATTACATAGAGTATCACGTTCAAAACATGTATACTAATAAAAAGAAAAAAAAGAACAAGCATGTTAGATGATTTGACCCTTAAAGTTGGATATTTCAAATATCTCTAGTATGAGATCTATCATTTTACTTTTGAAGTAAAAGACAGAGTGAAAGTCAAATTTTAAAGAATGTTTAATACTGGGGAAAAAAAGATATAGATGATCTACATCCGTATGAACCTAAATAATAAAAACCATTAGTTTCTAACACTTCCTATATGAATCTTTCAATAATCTTAGGCTCATAATACTAAAAACTGTGAGTACTGAAAGGTGATTTGCTCTAAGATGTCTTTCATCAAATGGAGCCCACCGCCTCCCCTACAAAGGATCCCAACAGTGACCCTTTCCAACCTTGCTCTCATCATGACTAAAACTAACAATCTTGTGGTAGATGAAGAATCCTTACCGCTAGGGCTATCCTTCCCTTGTTTCCTGTCACTCATCTCTTACTTTTAATCAATGAATCCTAGATTCGACATATGTTTGCTGCATCGAGATAACCATTAATACTTTCACAGTGAAGTATGTCCACGACAGCAAGAAAACAATTAATCATCTTTTGCTCAATTTACAGCATCCTTTCATTTTCATGTTTTGGCCTCTACTGACATGAGCTGGGATGAGTAGTGGCAGATGTGTTTTGATCACTTCTCTTAGCATGTCTTTTGAAATTTTAAAGTACATATTTGAATCTTGTAATAGGGCTTACATGAACCTTCAGTAGAAGTTTAAGGGTTTCTATAAATTTAATCTGAACTTTTTATGTCCATGAGTAATTATTTTGTAATATAACTTGCATGCAACTTCAGTAAAAGTTAAAGGGTTTCTAGAGATTTTAGTCTCAAACATTTCATGCCCACCAATGATAGGTTATCCACTTCTTGGGCATTAGCCTTTACTTATTATGCCACTTAGTAAAAGATGATTCACCCAAAGAACAGCTAAAGCAAATATAAACTCCACAGACAAAAATTCAGGGTAAAGAGTTGCCATGCTAGTTAAAGTTTCATAATCAACTAGCTCAGTGTAGAAACAAAATTAGCTTCAATTAAGAGATGATATAACCTAGGAGGAACACAAATATTCAAGCAACACCTTCAGATGTCATTACCTAATGTTCACAGACAAATAAAAGATCATAAGAAGTAAACTTGGAAAAAAAGATCATAAAGAGCAAGTGTAATGACTATTCTGCCAAGGAGTAAGTGTATGATTATAAGGTATAACCTAACAGCCTGAAATCCATAATTGTATAACTTGGAATAAGACTTACCAAACCCTTCAGTCTTATAGACACAGGTCGGCTCTCCAAAGCATCAATTACTTTTGGTGAGACACTCTGGAAAGACGATGGAAATCAAATATTTTATTTTGAAAAGTTAGACAGAGAAAATGATATTACAACAAAAGAAAATGACCATGTAATTACAAACATCTACCCGCAAAACTTCAGCAGCAGCTTCAATTCGGTCCTTATTCCAAAGCTTCAGCATGAGCACAGTCAAGTGGAATGTTTTTGGTTTAATAAAGATGGATTTCTCAATTCCCAAATCTGTTGACAAGAAAAGCATTCGTCAATTTGGTCACAGATTAAGACATAAAGAAGGAAATAATGCTCCCATTAGGGATAGATATTATAATGAACTTCAGAAGGAAAAGCAGAGATAAGAATTTTCAGCACAGAAGTTTTTTACAACAACACAGTACACAAATCCATTTTTATCTTTTGATAAAAGTAGCATAGTACTTAGATTTTATACCTAAAAGTTTAGAAGCCTTTGATTCTGAGGTAGAGGACTTAGATACTTTAGGCGAGTAACTCACGAGTGGTATGTTGGTTTTATCCATTTTAACACGATCATTAGAATCTTCAGTTTTGAGTTCCACTGCAATCTGTGGTTCGCTCAAGTTCTGCTCACCTTCCGAATCAGAAGTTTTACCACTTGAATCACATTCCAAATTTTCATCTTCATTAACTACTGTAATTCCAAGAACTGAGTTCTGGAAGTTGATGAGCTTGTTGACCAGCTCAGGATGTATGGCCAATGGAAGTGATACAAAGTGAGAGTAGTCAAGATTTCGGCTTTTAACTGTCTACAGGAAAAGGAGGCACAAATTACACTTATTGAGTGACAACAAATAAAAAAATGAGATAAAAAAATATTAAGATCCTTCATAACACAAGCAAGAACGCCAAGCTACAGTTGAGCGAGATTCCTCATGACAACAGCAAGTATGACGGATCACACTTGAGCATTCTAGATATAAATAATATTATTTGAAAGTTATGAATTACTAGTTGCATGTGAGTGCCATGAAAAGCTAAGAGTTCTAGTAAACACATATATGTTAGTTTAAGTTGAGAGAGAGAAAGAGAGGGAGCCTTCAAAAGGTAATTGAAAAGCAACTTCAAATGCTCACACTAGATTCTAGGTCAAAATCAAGTGGTACCTGGACCAATAGTATGACAGGAAAAGGCTCCTAAGGCAAGGCATGACATACAGTAAGATATATTTTGGGTACTTCGTGTTGGTCCCATAATGCAGCAGCTACATTTCATCAATAATCATTAGCATGACCATTTTTAGAAGTAAAAACAATAAAATTAAAAGCTCTGAGCAAAAACAGATACTTACATGTTACCACAGTTTATAGGCTCTAGAAAATTTGACAGATAAAAAAGTAATATTCCTTTTTTGCCTTATTTGTCTACTAGCACGAAAAAAATCAAATGTTGGTGCATACCTCATCAATTACAGCTTGGACTCTATCTGATGCTCTTGCCACACTTTCAGCAGAACTGCCTTCTATGACTGCAATATGTTATGGACACTACATTAAAAACGAAAAAAGTTGAACATAGCTGTTTTGGATTTCAAATTAGTATTGACCCATATTCAATATATACCAATACAAAAGGAATATAGCTCCAATTACTCTGTAGAAACATGGAATAGTGGCTTTCACAAGTAGTAACAACATTAAGAGAAGTGGATGCTAATCCCCCAATTGAAAGACCTACTAATAAAGAATCAATCACAAAGGAGAGACCAAAAGCCAATTATCATAACTAGTGAAAAGAATAGATCAAAGCACATTATCAAAGCATACCTCCAAAATTTTGGCCAACAAACTATGGTAGGAGACCTGAATGGAGCTTAAGCTTGGAAATCGGAAAATAAAAAACCGTAATATCACTAAATACTGATAAGATTACAAATAACTACATCAGACAGAGGATACAAGTAGGACACATGAAGAATAACTGAGGAAGGGTAACCAAGATGGTTTTGCTCCCCTACATAGACATCCAAATGCACTACTTTGTAGGTGCAACACTATGGCGATTGGTAGTGTTAATAGATCTAAAATCACATGAAGGTTATCACAAAAAAAAAGATCTATGATCTCTAAAAATCAATGCAGAATAAAACAAAGGATCCATCCAGACGATCAACTATGTGATTTAAGGATTAACCATTGTTTCTACACCTACATTAGGTCCACAGGGATGAGCACGAGATTTAGAGAGCTTTCAGTTACAATGAACCTTTAAGCGGTGTTAAAAGACAGCCTAATAGAATGAAATTGCCCAAATGGAGCAGCCTCAAAAAAAAATTGCCCAAGTGGAGCAGACTACATAAATCATCACCAAACACAACTAATTTGAGATTGACACGTCATCGATTGATCAACTAACTGATCACTTAATATACCAGGGTCCAGGAACAGCATAAGTAGGTCATAGAAATCATACAGTACGTTATCAGAAGCAAAAATCAGGCTACAAATATCATTATGATTGAATAATAACTTAATCAATAACAAAAGCTGAATCAATCAAAATCAGCCATAAATAAAGAAGCAACCCACTGAGGCAATCCTCATTCCGCGAGAATGGAAGTATGATTTTTACTTTCATTTCCTCCTCAATTGTCCTCTGTGTTGCACCTCTATAAGCAGAATATCAAAGCAACGTATTAGCCCCTCATTTTTAGCATACACAAGAATCCACACAGAAAGTCATACCCTTTCCCTCTGATAAAACGCATCAAGGAAGCCCCTGCCTGCAGATATGTTTGGAAATGAGATGATAACGGTAGCAGAAAATTGAAAGCCAATTTAGTGGGAGAACTCTGAATTTATGATGAAAACCATCCATAACAAGTGTCATTAGTGCAAAGTGAAGATCGCGTAAAGAACAACAACCACGTAACACACTGCACATGCAGCCAGAAAATGTGACCTATTCAATAAGTTACTCATTAAAAGGGTGAGCAGTACGGGTAAGAACTCAATTAATCACAATAATGACACAAAACTGATAAAACGAAAGACATACATCAGAAAAGTTGAACACTTCTTACAGGTCTTTAACATCTTTCATCTTCTAATTAGCCACGTGACAAGTCTTATTGGGTCGCAAATTCATGTGGATACAACTGATTCTTCCATACAGACACAGATTTAGTGATGTAAGAAAAATTAACTAAGATATTTCTATAATCAAGGATAGTGTAGTTTAAAAACATTTGTTTATGAGTTTAGTGTCCTCCCAAGGCATGCAAAATACGCATATGGCAGTACCATATCATTCACGGATAATGGACCTCTTCTGGATTTCCATCTGATGCAACACATGAACTTGCATGCTTACCATCACTTGAAAGCAAAAACTGGAAACCCTTTTGAGGAATGCACTGAAATTTCAAAGATCCAGATAGAGTTGAAACTTGAAACTTGAAACTTGAAACAGTCAATAATAAAAGAGTGTTAGCATTTAGTTAGGTTAACAACTTGTTATATTAGAAGGTTAATCACGTGTTGGGCAGTTGGTCAGAAGAATTGATGGAAAGTTGTCCCTGCTTGTATATGGTGGACAATTTGGAAGGAGAGGACCTACAAAGGTTTTGAAGACAAATACAATTTTGTGCAGAAAATGAAGATGAATTGTCTTCTTTTGTTTAATTTTTGCTGTAAAGAAAGCTATGCCAAGGAGGCAGAACCAAATAGTTGATATGATAGAATCCTTGTGAAGCAATAGCCTAAGCTTGGTTGGTTATTTTTATTTTATTTTTTGATAACCGAGAAATCCGTTTATGACCCGCCCTTTGGACCAATCACAACCTTCTAAATTCGGTGGATAATGGGTCCGCCCCTCTACCCTTCTCCACTTAAATACCAGGCTTCACTTTGCATGGTGTGGGGTTTGAACCTGCGACCTAAACCACAAATCCTCCACCTTTTGCCACTCGAGCTAAGCTTGGTTGGTTTTTGTAATGTCTTTCATATATATATATATATACACATATACATATACTTGTTACCAGTTTCAAAAAAGAATGTTCATCACGTGTTGTATTGTTTTATGGGCAAATGTGTACATAAGAAGTTAAAGACAGATTGGCAGGCAGGTTTGTTGTGTGTTTGGAATGAATGCAGCTTATAGCTTTCCTTCAAATTTTTACAAGTATTTTTTTTAATACGTACAGAAAAGGAGAAGATACACTTCGCTGATCTTTCCATGAGGTATGTTGTAGCCTCTTCTTGTCTAGCAACTTGACCAGCACATTGATGTCTATGCTCAGACAGAAGCTGCTCAGAGACATTGCTTTAAGAAAAGTAACCATGATGCTCTAAGTAATCTATATTCCCACTTATTTTGGGAAAATTTTATTCTTCTTTTCAATTTTAATATAGCTAAAAAGCATATTAATGTTGCATTTAAGTAACCCTTGCACCTAAAGTCCTAGACAATGAATTGACTGATAGAACAGGATGAAGAAGATTCAAAAGAAAAAAACAAACAGAAACACATCAAAAGCTAGTCAAGTTGTAAAAACCCAACAAGATTACCTTGACTGTAACTGAATGCTTCTGAGCTGCTGAAAGTGATTCATCATCAGCAGAAGGTGTTGCTCGTCCTTCTAGGTCAATGCCTTCACTAACCTGCACTGCCTTCTGAACTGTTGACTCATACGAAGAGACGGTGCATTTAATTTCTTGCACTTGACCTACAAAATCATGCTTCTCATCACCTAAACCACCTGAACTTCCAAATCCCAATATTAATCTTCCACATCTTTAACAGTGTATTCTACATATTGCATAAGATCATATTCCTGACATAACAATATACTATTTTTTCAATTATTCGGATACCTAATAACTTCCAATAGCAACGTGAAAGTACAGAAAACTTAACGACCTAGAATTTCCAATACAACTCAATCTAATATTAACAAGTGAGGAACACTCACCTTCAGTAGACCTTGATTGAGTAGAAACAGGTCTCCATGTTTTAGCAACCATTTTCTGTTTTTTCCGGTCCATGTCAACACGTAAACCTCCTTCAATATGCGTCCTCGAGTTATAATTGAAACCGCATGAAGAAAAACACCTCTGCAACAATTACAATTACCCGATTTCAACATCACCTTTTCGGTTCCTTGTTAAATTTAATTTCTATACAGAAATAGCGATTGGTGTACCTGGAAGTGTTGTGTGCGCTTCGGTACTACATGAACCTTTGTGAATTTCCAAGCAAGATCAACGCTGTGGAAGACGATTGGTAAGTAAAAAAGCTACGTATTAAATCTCTAATTCACTGAGAGAATGAAAAGACCTTGCAAATGGTAAGTGTGCACCTTAAAAAAGACCGGTAAGCTATCATTTGTTTTATCTCTATCGACGGCGGTGGCGCTGAAATTAAATTCACCAGCCGGAAGAATGATATTTTGACCAAAATGTGTAGTTTTGGCTTGAAAAGTGAGAAAATGGCAAAACGATCCCTTGTGTTTAGGAGTAGGTTCAAAATAATTTTTAAAGTAATTTTTTTGACAGTTTTGATCCTTTTATGTTTGTTAAAAATTAATTTTAATTTTCATCAAATATTTGGCAAATTATATCTGTTACATTTGATACAAATTGTTAGATTTGAGCCTAGAATCATATGGAAACAGTCTATTTTTACTTCTAGGAGGTAATGGTCAGATTTGTGTATGTTCTATGGAAATTTTATCTTGCGTCCATTTGTGTGATTATTTTAAATATTTTATCGTTGTTGTTAGATTTGAAAAAGATTGTAAAGAAAAATATCAACATAAACATTAAATAAAAGCCTAATCAAATCTTAGAAACTATAACATAAAAAACTATAATAATTACTTCCTCCATTTTCAAATTGTTTGTCCACCTTTCCTTTTTAGTCGATTTTAAAAAGAATTTTCTTTTTAGTTACCTTTAAATTTTAACTTTTTGTATGTCATATTGTTACACGAGACATATCTTTAATTTAATACCACAAGATTTAAAAATCTCATTAAAATTTTCAAACTTTGTGCTGAGTCAAATTAAGACAAACAAATTGAAACGAAGGAAGTACTAAAATATAGACAAAATATACCAGAAATTGCACCAAAAATATATATATCAATCTCTAGAAATAAATTAGAAATAGCATGAATTCAATAATTATACCTCCAAATATGAGTTTTCTATTAAATATTTATTAAAAGACTAAAATTGTTGAAAGTATTTTCAAAATTATTATGAATCTATCCCAAAATTTTAAAAAAAAAGAGAGACTATTTTTGTCATTTTCACCTTGAAAATTTAGGGGATTGAAAAATGATCAAAATAATCTTTAGTGTATGAGCTTTGATTTGATTTGGTCCTTTAAGTGATAAATATGCTGAAAATATTCTTTGATATATTTCAAAACGTGATTAAATTGGTCCTAAGTTCTATAATGAAGGAAAAAATAATTATATTGCGTGCGCTATTAATTATAAAGGACTTTAAAAATGAAAATACTGATATAAAATATCAATCATTCAAGGGCATTGTGAAAAGTTGAGTGGTCAAAGTGTATATTTTTAAAACTTAAGCATTTCAGTGCCTTGGAGTAGTTACTAGTAGTAATCCCAAGTTCCGTGTTGAGCAAATAAAAAAGGATTCTTCACAGAGCAGGGAAGTGAGAGTGAGTAGAGCACAACGAGGACGATGCTGGAAAGGGTGCTCTCTTCTCGCAGGGCGACGCCGGTCAGTGACGACGGCGATGAAGCTGGCGACGAATCCAAAACTCGGAAGCACATATCTGTGGCGACGAGGGTTACAAATTATGTGATTCGAACTGGACATCTCTGGCCATGCCTTCTCATAGGGCTTGTGATTGTGTTGGTAACTTCTTTCGTCTATCACACTCGCGACTTAGTATGTATCTCCGCTTCCTCTTCCGATCACCTTTCTCGTTTGCGATTCTTTGGCTTCGAAGGCCTTGAAACGGACTTCGGATCTCTCGGCGTTCCTTGGTGTAAGTTCATTGCGTTTCAGTTTTAGTGTATATTCAGATCTGGTTTCATTTTTCCTCGTTGAGCATTGCGTGATAGTGTATTTTCTCTAAATGGATTCAATTGAACACATCTCGATTTCCTTCGGAGGAACGGTGGTACATTTATTTTCTTGTAGATTTTATTGATTTGTGAAATCGAAACCTACGGTTTTCCGGTTGTACATGGTTCATCTGTAGGATTTGTCCAGGTGCAAGTAACTGGATTAACGTTTTGTATTATTTTGGTGTCACTTTCGTAATAGGATCCAATGGCTTGATTCAAACAAAACAACATTGTTATTACATGTGAAGTTAATGGAGGAATCAGGTGTGTTAGAGTAATTTTCAAGTGGCATAGATTGTTGCTTCATATAGTTAATGGAGGAATTAGGTGTATATAATAATTCTAGTGGTACAGATTATTGTTTTTATCTAACTGATAGTTTCCTATTTGATTGTGGAAGTTCATTGTTATAACGGAAAATCATACATACATGTCCAAAATCTGCACATTGAGTTTCAAGACATTACTATAGTTGAAAATCCTATTCCGATGTCCAGAAATTACATCTAGTTTCAAGACCAAGACCAAGAATTTTTTCCTTGCATCATTTGTAGATGATGAGTGTCGCATAATCTGGATCAATTATAGCCTGCTTCACTTTGTAGTTTTTAAAATTTTCTTTCATATATGATGATTATAATCTCCAGAGTATGGCATAAACCAGAATAATTGGCTTTCTAGTGGCTTCATTCTGTTATACAGTCATAGCAGAAGTAAAATGGTTTATCATCTTTACAGTCTTAAGCAGCACTTCTGATCTATGGTCAACAAATGAAACAACTGTTTAGACATGTGTGTATGCATGTCATTCACCTTTTCTGGAATGTCAAAGATTCTTCCTGTGTTGTTTATCTGTGAAACTCAACTGTTAAGCAGTGAAATTCACATGGTCCAATGCACCTTTAATTAATTTTTACTCTTGTCAAAAGGCAGAACGAAACATGACAGAACTGTTGAATGGACCACAAAGGATTTAATCAAAGGTTTGGAGGAGTTTGTGCCCATATATGAGACACGGCCTATCAAGAATAACATGTATGGTATGGGTTTTGATCACAGCTTCGGGCTCTGGTTTATCACTCGGTGGTTAAAACCAGAGTTGATGATTGAGAGTGGTGCATTCAAGGGACACTCAACTTGGGTCTTGAGACAAGCAATGCCAGATACACGAATCATCTCACTTACACCCCGTCATCCTGAGAAGTATCTAAAGAAAGGGCCTGCCTACGTTGATGAGAATTGCACATACTTCGCTGGAAAAGACTTTGTTGATTTTGGAAATGTTGATTGGGGGAAAGTTATGAAGAAGCATGGAATCAAGGATCGTAGCCAGGTTCTTGTCTTTTTTGATGATCATCAAAATGAATTGAAAAGGTATAACTTCTATAGCTTTATTTTGAGTTTTGTTAAAGGAGTAATTCCTTCAGTCACTTGTTCTGTCTAATGTCATCGTATCCATAGCAGTATTCAATGATGCTATGGCTTTGCCGATTCCCACTTGTTTTGCAAATATGTCTCACTGTTCTCTGTTTGAAATCTGAACTTTGATTGACAGACTGAAGCAAGCATTAAAAGCTGGGTTTAGGCATCTTGTGTTTGAGGACAATTATGATACTGGTACTGGAGACCACTATTCTTTCAGGCAGATGTGCGATCAATTTTATATTAGAGGTATATTTTCACCTCGACTTTAAACAATTGTTTTTCCTCTGTCAAGCCAAAGCAAGCATTATCCGGTCATTATTGTATCTCTCTGGTTTTTCCCTTTTCTAAGTTGATTCTGTTTTTATTTGGAAAATCGTGGTGAGATTTTGTTGACTCCGATGTGGAGTAACAAATAAATAGAGATCATGTGCTATAGTAATAGCCTTATTCATGTAGTTTCTTGCTTTTGTTATATGTTACCATCTGTTGTTTATGTTAGGTTGCACTATTTTGTTGATGTTGTTGTTCCTTGCATGTATGCTCTGCAATGCTTTTTTATTAGTTTCCATGTTTTTTCCGCTGCCATTTTTCCTTTTCATTACTCCTTTGTTTTGCTTCACTTGAGCCAAGGGTCTTTCGGATCAAGCATCTCTACCTCCATGTGGTAGGGGTAAGGTTTGCGTATACTCTACCCTCCCTAGACCCCTCTTTGTGGAATTTCACTGTGTATGTTGTTGTTGTGCTGAAGTATTTTTCTCCCATGAAACTCCTAATGGAGCAGTAAAACTATTTATTCTCCCATGAGAAATTTGTTTGCAATGCAAAGCTTAAGGATGTTGATATTTTTAAAGGACAAGAAGTCAGTGGCATGATGTTTCATTAGAATATACAGTTGTGTTTTTTTAAATATACAGTGTGCTGGAAGAACAATACAATGCTAAATATGTTGCTAACGGCTATCTATCCAAATCTAAACCCTGCAGGTTGGGAGTTTTTTGGGTAAGTGCCATCTGATATGTGATATTAACCTGTCAATTAGCTCAGTCATCTCAACCCAAAATCCTAATTTTAGGAAATCAATTGTCCTAGTGGTACCAACCAGAGAATTCAAATTTAGATCAAATCATGATTATAGAATATTGAGATCACTTCCAAAATGTGTATTACTCCATACTTTATCGTGGAAACTTTTGTTTGTTTTGCTTGTCTAACCAAGTAAACACATTGTTCTCTGTTTAGGCCACCTTTATCTAGTGCATTTGTAAAGAATCAGTTAATTGATTATGAGATTGGAAAACCAAGGTAAACAGATGAGATATATGTAGAAAATAATAGGAAGAGATCTTGATATGAAGAAAACGAATACAAATACACTCTAGTATAGAGTGTCGACAGATCAAATAGCAGTTATGCTATGCTTAGACCATGCCAGTTCAGTATATGAATGCCTTTTCAATTTGTGAAATTATTCGTCGACTTTTATAGTCAGTGCAATACTTAGTTCTTACTACATGACATGTTTTCTAATTTCATTCCAGGTGGAGGCCATAGCTGCATTAAGGACAGTGATGAAGGAAGGATCAGAGCAAGAAGGAAGAAATTCTGGGAGAAGGCTGTTGATATTGATGAACTTTGCGGTCCTGGTGAAGCTTGGTGGGGTGTGAGAGGGCAGATGCGGGATGATTTTAACCACAGCAATAAGGCCATTTCTTATGCAGAACATTTTAAAAATAGCAGGTTTGTAGAGTCAGTGTTAGATGTTTACTGGGAGCTTCCACCTGTGGCTGGTCCTTCATTAACTCATCAGACGAGATACGATCCGGCTCGTGCATCAAGTCCTATTGTTGAAGATGGCAGGTATGGCTTGTTTCGGAGGCTTGG